TTTTTTTTTTATTTTGATAATGATTTTTTAAGGTGGCAACAGGGGTAGTTTAGTCTCGATGGGAAAACCTACCAGTTCAACGTTAGCCAGTTTAGCCGGCCTCTTCAGGGAGCGCGACGACAGGGCAGTGTCACAGGCCCCGGATGCACAAGCGAGAGCAGATGAAAGATTAGGGGATATAAACGATACCGAGAAGGAGTTTGTGTCTTCAAGAGTCAGAGTAAGTTCATAATTTACATGGATTAATGGTGAAATTTATTTATTTTTGTTTTTGTTAAGATAATCGATCCAAATTTAGTATATGACGCAATTAATCTTGGAAGAAGAATAGACGTATCGTGGCCGACGGAGTATATGAGGATTAGAGGAGGGAGAACGCATTGGAAGGATTGGGTTCCCGAGACTGGTATGGAAGGACCGGTAAGTCGTTTGCAATTTCATGCCCATTATTATAAAATGTGATATACAGTGTGGCCTTTACAATCTTCTGATAAGTCGAAAGGAATCGTTTCTTTCAAGTATAATTAGGAATCAAATGAATGAAGTACAAAATTATGACTTGTGGAAATAAACGAAGCGAATAAACTAAACAAAAATGTAAAAAAAATAATTTTGAACATTTTTTTGCAAAATGTCAACAAATATCATACACAACAGTTAGTTAATAGTGCCGGTTTCTGTCATTTACGATTAGAGTCTGACAAACTGAATAAGCCTCTGTAATGGTGTCACGATAACAATGAGGCATCATTGCGAAGCTTTATATGAGGGTTGTCCGTAAAATAAGGTTCCCAGTTATTTTTCACAATGAAGAACGTGTTTATTGGTATTGAATAATACATGGAAATGTGGAAAGCTTAGACTTTTACCTATTTTTCTACATAATGAACATTGAGATCGATGCATTTTTGCATTTTTTGCATACGATATACCATTTTTTGTATGCCTGCATGGTAGAACTCTCCCGTCGCGCCACAAAGGTAGCTTAAAGCATCTTCTTTCAGGTCCTCTCCGGTTGCGAAATGAAAGAAGTGGTTTTAAGCTGCGTTCGTGGCACGGCGGGAGAGTTCTACCATGCAAGCATACAAAAGATGGTATACCGCATACAAAAATGCATCGATTTCAATGGCGATTCAGTAGAAAAATAGATAAAAGACTAAGCTTTCCACATACGTATTATTTAATGCCAATAAACATGTTTTTCATTGTGAAAATTAACTGGTAACCGTATTTTACGGACAACCCTCGTATTATTTCTAAGTGTAAATAGTTGAACAATTTCATGGATATAACATAGAAGGATTTGATCTTCACTTTTAAACTTTTATCTGAAGACAGCGATGTGTCTCTTGAAACACGAAAAGTCAAAACTAAGAACATGGAAACCAGCCCAGAAATTGTTGAAAACTGCCAGATGAACCTACAAACTAAGATACAGGCATTTCACTATACATGTTATTTTTCTTTCAGGTAGTGCACAAATGGGTCCCTTGCCACAAAGACCCAAACAAAAGATCTCACGTAGACCGAACCATATTATTAGTACAGATCGACGACAAATTTGTTCCTATCGCAGAAAGCGGTGTCCAAGATTTGGGCCCTGAAGTATAACATTTACTTCCCCGTGCAAACCTAGTAGATAATTGGTTTGAGCACAGATTCATAGACTTACGGGA